GTGTTGGTGATGTCTCCCAACTTCCTCTCTGCCACGGATTTAATTTAACTGTGACTTCTTGTGCTTTGGTCTGTAATAACATGACTGAGTAAGTCTGATTACATGACTTGTCCTCTCCAATTCCCCAGCGACGCCTGCTAGCTCCTCAGTCCAGCTCCAGGGACCCTGCTTGGCACTGAGTCCCTCTCCCACAGCCCAGCTCTTACGCTCATCTCCCTCTTCTCCTCTTTAATTAGTAAATTTCCCATGTGGCTGCACAACAAATGCTTTAATGAAGTCCAGATAACTGATTTTTAGACAAGGGAAATATAGTAATCTTATCAAAGACAGATATTATCATGTGTCTGGCATTTTTATGCCATTTTCCATTTATCTATATTTCTGTTCTCATTTTTGTTTTAAGTCTATTGTGAAAACTTTTTGAAGACACCTGGGCCTGTAGTTGCCTTGACACTATTTCCTAAATATAGCTTCTATTTTTCAACTCTTCTGATATTGTTACAGTATAGGACCACTTGAATAGATCTGAATAGCAAAGGTTTTAAACTAATATGTGTTTTCCTCTGTTGAGTCTCTCATATTTGGGTTGGAGATTATCTGTTTCTCTTAATTGGAACATATTTAAACAACAAGTTCTGCTCCCAGATTGCATGAAATAATATAATTTTCTAAATTGCTCCTCCTATCAGTTATGCGCTGCAAGATTTCTCTTATAAGAATCTGCCCCACCACTACCACTATGGTAGAAGAATTTATGAGAAGTCTTTAGTTTGTAGGGTCATATATAGATTATCTGAAATTTTGATGAAATCTCACTTCTAAAAAAGTCTTATTTAACTTAAAAGGGCCAGTTCAAAGCCTCAGCATGTCTGACTTTATTCCAACCCTTCATGAAATCAAAGAAATATTGTTTAACTGCTATTTTCTTGTCACTTCGACATTTTCTGTCTACTCTTCACATCTTTAGGGTTCAAGTTTAACATTTCCTCTCTGGGATGCCAATTCCACATAACTTTGGGACTTCTAAACTCCTTCACATAATGTAAATCACATTTTCAGTCCTCTCAGTCCTACTAATTAGCCCCTGAACTTCATATTTGTTCTTTCTAATGCAAAATTACAATGATAACTTGTTTTCAGTTCTGACTTATTTTTATAACTCAATACAAGTGAATGATAATTTCATCAAGAATGAATCATATGAGCATAGGTTTTGGAGTTTTAAGCTGGTAGAAATTCAGAAGTTAGTGGTGAACTTTATGAAGATGTGCCCCATTCATCTGAATGAGAAAAAGCAACAGAGCTTCTGCAGGTCTATGGCTACTTATGCTGGAATGGAACTGCATAATCTGACATAATGGATTTTTTTCTAGCTTGCATTGTTGTAAGACTATCTGTATCACTCAAAAATAAAAGCAAACACTTTTTAACAGAATACAAATGTTGTGTCTCTTATCACGTAGGCAAATTTAGACCATACTTCACAACAAAGTGCAATAATTAATTCCTGAAACAAAAACTTAATTAATATTCTAATTTAAAAATCCGTTCATGGAATTCTGGTACTATGCTCGGACCTTTTCAGAGAAATATGGAGAAAAAACTTACGAACTAGACAAAAAACCTTCTAATTGCCCTGTTTGATGAAGGGGCTAATTTTTATTGGCTTTTGGTAAGTATTCAGTCCTTAGGATATACAAATAGGTTTGAGATTGTCCTGTAGCTATATGCACCCATAGCCTCAAAATATAATTTCTTAAATTGAAGTATTGATTTAAATAATTTTTTTTATGCTCCTTGTGATCCTCAAACACTGCAGTATAATATCCTCAATTTAAGCCAATTTAAAATTTCCCCTGAGAATAATTATATGAGGACAGATATTTCTGATCTAAAATTAAATTAAGTAAAATAACTGTTACATTGCCATTCCCTGTATTCAGCTATTTGCAGGGCAGGTGTGCACAAATAATGGGCTATAAAATACAAATATTTATAAAATTAAGTGCAATAGGAAAGAAATTATGCTACAAACTCTGCAGTGTAGCTGTAAGGCTGTGTTATCATTGCCATACTTTACCTGTGCTGTGAAAAGAAACTTGTTGACCAGGGCTCCAGATGCTACTAGAACAAAAGTTAAGGAAAAATTCTGCTCTCATCACAGCAAAAGTAAAACTGAGATGGTCAGATCACACATACATTGAGTGTTACAGTGCATAACTCCATAACTACATTCCAGTTTGAATTTACAATTGCAAGGTGAGAGTCATGCAGCAGTAGATAATGGCCCAAGATGTATGCAGCCTTAGATAATGGCCCAATTCCCTTTATGGCCAGTCCCTTTCAGAGGGAAAGAAGTGACTTTGTAGGATATGTCGCTCCATCTTACTCATGATTCCCATGTTAGAGGGAATGAATCTCCTTTTGGAAGTGACAATCTCTCACCTCTGATAATAGGGATGATATACAGGACTGCCTGAACACAGATGCTTAGAACAATAAGGCTAGATGAGGTAACAATATCCTGACACATACCCATAATTATCCATTTTGAAGCATCTTTATACCTGTACATTGAAAGGTTTATAAAATAGGTACTCATCCTTAACATTCTTATTCAAACACTATGCCTATATTTTTACCCTAAAAATTTTTTAATCAAAACAAAAAATATTCACTGCATAGGTAACACAGGAAACAGGGCAGAATTCAGTTTCTCCTTTCTCCAAGGTATGAAAAGTAAGCTAAAGAGTAAGGATCCTACTTGTACATCCAACTCCATTAGGAGTGGGCTGATCTGTCCTCCAGTTTTTCCCCAGATGTTCTGTATTCTGGTAATGTGGGTATTTTTTGTATGAATGATATGCAGTGTGGTTTTTTATGACATGAGGGTATAGAAGCTGAAAGTGGCTCTGCTATTTGGATGTCACTGTAGTCTGTGAACTCTAGTTAGCAGTAGAATATAAAGCTAGATATAGACATTATTAACTCCCCTTCTTCTGGAAATGCTTCTTGAATGAAAATATTGTCAAACTCCTGGTCCTTTAAGAAGTAGACAAAAGTCCCTTCAAGCAGCAAAGGGTGCCATCCCTGCTTTCCAAGAGTTGTGGCATTCATATGGCTGAACACTGTAGGTAGTCAGCTACACTCAAAGAAATGAGACACTAGGATTCTCTTTTTTCCCCCACTAGAAAGTAGTGGAAGGTTTCCTGCTGGGCTTATTTTCTTCTGCGATCATTGTTTTGGGATGACAATTCAGTTCATGTGTTATACATGTCTTGGTTCCTAATCTGAGGCTTTTGCAGACACCCTAATAGCACCTAATGTTTTGATGCATCCGTATCATGGTTAAACCCCAACCTTCAGAATGTCCAGATTTATGGAAGCAGGTGAGTGAAAAAGATGCAAAAGGGCAGAAGAAAATTGGGAACTAGATGAAACACTAAGCCAAGCCTTTGAACAGTAAAAAAAGCCCAACCAACAAACAAAAACCAACCGCCCTCTCCAAACCCCTATGTATAAATAATAAGCACTAATGGTGTACCTAAAACCTCCACAGATCAACTCAAAAAGGTGGATCTGCCACATTTTTCAGAAAGAAATGCAGATTATAGCAACTGCAGGCAGGGGAAAGTACAACTCAGTGTGAGTGGAAGAGTGAAAACCACATGGAGGTTTTCACCAGAATTCAAGAGTGACATGACGTTCAAAGATTGCAAGAATATTTAGCATTATTGCAATTAATGGTGAAAAAGAATCACCGAGAGAACATTAAATTTTGTGATTCAAAGACAGCTTCTAATAAAAAAATGGCCAAGAGGAAATTTAAGAGGGCAGTGCAAATTACTCCAAGTATTTTCCAATAACAATCCTACATCTTCCCCTGAAGTATCTGACAGTGGCCAGTGTCAGTGATCAGATGCAAGACTGGCAAGAACGTCTGTCTGCTTAGGCTGGCAAACCCTATAAAGACTGGTTTTTAAAATGTTGGTGACAGTAGATGTCTACATTCTTTTAATAGAGTATAAATTTAGCATCCTCCTTCTGAATTAAGCATTTAGGTGGCAGAGTTAATGTTATATCAATTCGAATGAAAGACACTAGGAGAAAATAGAAGGGGATAAGATTAATATTTGAAAATTAGAAAGTAATTTTCAGTAACAGAGGTGGACGGCTGGTTGAAAATCACATAAATTAAGACCTACAGAAAAAAATTCTCCTCATAAAGGAGTCATTAGCAGTCATACAATAGTTTACATTTTACATAAGTGATATTCTCTTAACATTTTTTCCTTTTCCACTAAAGGTTAGATCCCTATAAGCACACAATTCGAACTGCTAGCAGTTTGATTGATATCAATTGATATTGATGAGGTCTGCAGGCTCTCAGCATCTCTCTATAGGTGTTTTTCATGTTGAACCTGGCCTTTTTTTTTACAGCCAGTGAAGCAACAGAAAAAATTGCGCTGGCTGAGGGAAGCAGAATTCGTTCCTGCTGGCCAGGCATAGTTTAGCAACAGGATTTATACACATTCAGGGAGAACCTTTTGATATATTTCAGGTAACAGAAACACCTTTTTCTGCCATCTTTGTAAATATATAAATATTTGAAAAACACAAGCAAGAAAGAGCGCTGGCCTCTTTAACAAATATATCCTTCCAGACCCTTGCCTGACCCCAAAATTATGCTCTCCTGTCACTGACCCATCTAATCACCTTTGTGCTGCTTTCTCAGAAAAGGCCTGGGAAAACCCATCAGAATTGCAATGTTATCTGAAGGTCAACACAGTCTCATTTTGTCAGCCAATTCTTTCTTATGGCCAAGCCTTAATATCAGGTCACTCAAAAAGTGCTACATTTTATGTAGCTGTTATTTTCAGAATTTCAAATAGCATTAAAAATGTTGTGTAATTAACTTGTAGTCTTTACATTTGGGTCTAAGGGGAATTAAAACAATAATTTTTGCAGAATAACACAATGAATTTCTTTTTGTTGAACAGAAAAGAAGAAATATTGACAAAGTCTGATGATGGCACATGGAATAACTCAAGGACTTCAGGTACAACACCCAGTTTAATTAGTTCCTCCTTACTGCACATGTTAATTAAAAATAATGTAACCAACATCATGGAAATTATTCAACTGTTTTTTTAACTCTTCAGACCCAAACATCCCAGAAATTGTTTATTCACAAGCAGAAGACAAAGACACAAAACTAGCTAAAGAAAATGTAAAAGACAAAAATGCAGAATACAACCAGGGTGATCACAATGATGATGAAAAAGAATTAGAGTTGCTGGTAAGTGTTATACAATTATATCTACAGTATTAAATTATTTGAATCCATTTACGCTTCAAAGCTGGTGAAATGCCCCCTTTTAACAGAGCTGACTGATGTACTAATTTACAAATGTAAAGCCTTGGTCTGTACTTACACTGAATCTCTAACTGATTCAACAATAGAAGGTGCTTTGATTTCGGTATAGTGCATCAACTTTTTCTGGTCTTAAATTAATGACATCTCCCTTTTACTTCTTTACCAGAGGCTCTAAAAGATGGTTCTAAGGAATTAGAAGAGTAACATTTAAAAAAATCTCCCCTCCTAGTCTCTGGGATGGAAATATTTTTAAATATATGCTCTCTATTTGTAAAATTTTTATCTTTGTAGTGCTGTTTACTTATAAGATTTTTGAAATTATAACTATATGAGCATAGTAAGTATATATATTTATATTAGCAGTTTCTTCTGTATCAGTATTTTACATTATATTTTTACAATGAATTTCACACTCGGTGAACATTCAATCTATTTGGATTTCTGTGCATGCATGTGTGTGTGTGGTTTGCCTTGCATTTTTCAGTGTGAAAGAAAAAACGGCAATAAATGAGACACATACAGCAATCTATTATTCCCAGTGTCTGTTCTCAGCTCATATCATTTGGGTGCACAGATTCATAATCATAGATTATAATCGCTATCACCTGTGAAAATGTGAATGCTAAATCAGATAAGAGAGGAAGATGGGAAACATTCTTTTTTTATTGTTAATAGAGAGAAAAAATTCCTCTCATTTCAATATAAATTTTTGTTGTCTTTTACTTTAAAAAGTTTACATTTGTTGCCTATTGTGGAACCTTTTGCTGCCCAAAAGTCAACATTTTGGTTCTTTTTTCTTCATGGTGAAATGTGCAAAGGAAGACCTCTAAAATCCCTTGTTGTTCTCAGTCCACCCTTTTACAAAAAAGAGGATCAAATATAACCATTTGTTTATCAATTGCCAGACTTGTCCGTACAATAAATGAAGGGGGAGCTATAATTTAGATGTTAATTTGCACTGTGCGCTCTTTAATGAATTAAACAATGAAGGCTTATAATACATGGAAATACAACCAAATCTTTGAAACACACAGGCATTGGCTCACAAGACAGCTGTGCAGTTGACAAGTAACATGAGCCTTATGTGAGAAGAAGGGGAAATCGTAAGATTTGCATATAATTATTGAGATCATGCAAATGTCAGTTATGAGGAGGGGAAAAAAACACAGGCATCTCACTGTTAAATCCTGACAGTTGGCATCACCGAAGAACTCAAATACACTTGAGCACTGGTTGGCAGAGGGTCATTAAAACAGAATTTGCAGAGACATTAGCTCCCTCACTTTTCTTTGAGTGACGTTTTACTATTAATAGTTTGCAGAGGCTTTGCAGAAAACATATTAATAAGAGAAACTGTAATGGGGGTATCTACAGCAAGTGCAAATGTATAAAGGGGTGCCCGAGAAGCTAGCCTCTAATTGATCAGCTAGTGCTATCAGTGTGACTGCTAAAGTGAGAAGAGAGTGCAGTGACAAGCAGGCATAGCTGAATAATACAATATGATATTTGGGAGCTGGGAGGGAGAATGATTAGTTTCTGGCCTTTTACTTTGCTAATCTCATTTCCAACTCATGTCTTACCAGATTGTCTAAAAACAGTCTGGTTTGAAGCCTGTAAAATGCTCCCTGAGAGAAATGAAGCACAGATAATCCTTACAGTATTTGTCAGTGTGAAATGTGTCTTTGTTTTACTGGACAATACTGTACATTACCGGGCACTGATGTACTGTATCAATGCCCTTGTTTAAGCACCAATCCTCCCCCCTCACCCCACGGCTTCCTCTCTCCAAATCTAGAATCAAATGCATAGTGAACAAATTAGCCTGCCTTTAAGGAAATATTCTCTTCAGATTTAATTTGTATAAAATCCACTAGCAGCTTACTGAACTCATGAATAAAGAGAGAGGGTTCTGAGCACTATTTTATTTTCTGCTCCTTTCAGCACCACCATAAAGCTCATTACCTATGTTAAAAAATACATGCAATGCAAATTTTGCAAATGGTTTGGAACATGTTTCCATAAAAGCTTTGTTACTGAAAACAAAACTTTCCATAATGAAATCCTGCCTCCTTAATTTGGTATATTTTTGCAAAGCATTTTTTCATCATTCTTTTTCTATTCTATTGTTTCAGTTAAATCAGCACTTCACAGGAGCTAGAGGTACCTCTTCCAGAGATGAAAGGAATTTATACACAACAGAACCAATTAATTTTCCAAGTGAAACTGAAAGATTGGTGGAAAAGCTAACCTGTATAGAAAGAAGCAGTGCCTTGTACCCTGTGCCTATCGGTTCCTCATCTGAAAACACTTCACATGTGATAGGAGAAGAATTAAAAGATAAAGCTAAGTATTGTGTAAGAGATTATAATAATCAGCTACCAGGGAAGGGAGTCACTGCTGGCTCAGTAAACAGCTATGAGCAGTCTTTGGAACCTACTGGTACCAGTGAAAGTCGGACAAAGCAGAATGAGGCTACCAATATTATGGCTACTGGCTCAAGCCGACAAGGAGAGAGGCACACAGATATTTCAGAAGGTGAATTAGACAGTTCCTCAGGAAGTAAGATGATGGAGAGCTTATTCTTCAGTGAGGATGCTGCTGGTACCTCAAAAGAGGCCTGTGAAACAAGACCAGAAGCCATTTTACCAGAGCATGACAAAACCATGCAATTAAATGCATGCATAGCAAGGACGCTGGATGGCAATGCTAATCCAGCTCTGGAGCACCAGGTACCACAAATGTCTCACCAAACTTTGCATTCATTGTCGTCAGATGCTGAAAAAAATGAAGGAAAAATCAAGATGATTGAAAGCAAAGTTCAGGTACACTTAAGAGGAGATTTGTATGCCAGCACTTTTGCACATGCTGGTGTCTCAACAGATTCTATGCAAAAAAGAGTTGGTGAAATGTCAGAAAGAAACACTGATTTAGGGAAGCAGAAGGAAGTCATTGAAGTAGCAGACTTGGCATCAATCGGTGAGGAGGAAGCTTCCAAGTCTTTCAAGGCATACAGGAAACACAATGCCAAAGCCCTGAACACAGCACCTCTGCCAGCTGAGAACAAGCAGGCACCCAGGGCCACCAGGCTGGATGAAAGGCGACCTGAGGACACTCAGGAACACAGAGGATTCAGGAGGCTAAAAGACAGAGAGACAAACAATACAAATACAGGGAGACCAATTGGAAGGGAAAGTGAAGCAAACTTTGCAGAGCAGAGGTGGCAAGAAACAGGGAGTGAGGTTCGGTGGAGAGTGAGTGGGAGCATGGAACCTCAGACCATGACTTCCACAAAGGAGTTGTTTACCTGCCAGGAGGCAGAGAAGTGTGAAAAGTCTTCTGTCTCTGAGCAGGGTATTACAGAGAAAGCAGAGGCAGGTACAGCTTATATAATTAAAACAACATCAGAAAGTGCTCCAGAAAAAATGCCTGGCAGTGAAAAAGCAGTAATTGCTAAGCTACCTCGAGAGACTGCACTAAGTGACAGGCCCACAGAGGAAAAGGAAACAGCGTTTGATACACATGAAGGGAGAAATGATGGTTCACATTATGCTCTTTGTCAACTCAACACAGTGGGTGTATTATATGACACTGAATTTGAAAAGGAATCAGTTTTAGGTATTTATAATGCATGCGTACATGAAACACTGCAAGGAGAAACTAAGTCTGTCTGCAATAGCAGGGAAAAATGTTCCAAAGCACAAGCAGACAATATTCTACCTGTAGGAGAAGCAGTAAAGGCTTCTGCTACAGGAAAGAAAGATTTGCAGGAGGGTTTATGTTCAGAAGTACCTAAAAGTGCCCTGAGTACTGAGAAGCATCTGTACTATGAGAAAGCAGAAGATCTCTACAGGGCAGAAAGCCATGGTGATACACTTTCCTGTTTATGTTCTAAAGCTGAAACAAAAATGCCACCTTCTGGTACAAGCACTGTGCCTAGTTACCATTATAAAAGCTCTTCAGTGCCATCTTCAGAAGGGCCCACTATGGAAGAAGGTATGGAGCACCTGTATAGACACTTTGAATCCAAAGTCATTGACAAGATTGCTGCTGAGTCAGGGTACAATTTAAATCTAACAAATGAAATAACATGTCTTAACAAAATCTTCTCTCCTGAAGTTGAAAGAGAATTACCTTCTGCTTCAGACTCAGCAATTTCTGGAGAAGGAAGAGGAAGGAATACAGGTCAACATTTCCATCAAGCAGAGCTTCAACAAGAGAGGTCATGGAGGCCAGAAGTTTTAATTAGCAAGTGTACCATAGAAAATGGAGGAAGAGGCTGTCAAACTGACCATTTAATAACAGAGAGGAAAACATTAAGCTGGCTTGAAGACTCACCGAAAGAAAGCCAACACGCTTCTGATTCTGCTGATATTTCTCACCAGAAGAGTGAAGCACTTAAGTTACCTAGTGAGTCTCCAGGTTTAAAACATATTGCTTTAAAAATATTTTATTTCTTCTTGTTTCTTCTATTTGCTGCAACACTCTACCATTATGATTTGATGGTCTGCCTTGCACTCTACTTGTTCTCCTTGTATTGGCTATACCACGAAGGAAGAAGAAACAAGGAGCCTATTAAGAAGGAATAACACTGACTGTCAGCTGTGCTCAGGATCCATGGTCAATAATCTTCAATTCCATCAAAGCATTTTCACTGTTAAAGAGTTTATTCTTTGTTAGAACCAAAGCAAGATTTTCACAGCAGCATCTTTTATTTAGAGATTACATATGAAGTTGAGCCTTCATATAAGTAATTAAACTATGCAGGACCATTATGTTTGGATCATTAAATACCTATATGAGTATGAGTTCTGAAGCACGTCAAATTAAAATGAAGTACAGCTGTTGCTTCTTAGCAGGATATGAAAAAGCAATGCTTCATGTCTCTGTAGTACTTAAACCTACCATTTACTTGCTTTAATTTCTTTTGCATTAAAGCTTCATACTTTTCTGGGAATTTTTTCCCAAGATTCTGTGTGGTACATAACAACCCAAGAAAAAATATAAAACCTAAGTCAGTATTTGGTGCTGACATTACAGTTGATAATCTGCTAGTGTAATTAGCCATGGTCTAAGTGATGCATCTGTTGATAGTTTAATATATTTTTTCCAAATTTTTATTTCATTAATTTGACTGAAAATTTCAGCAGTACCCGTTTGAAAAATATAAGGCTTTGACTTCAGTAACATCATGTAACTTCCAGGATGTAACTGTGTAGCAGAATAGATGTGCTGTCTCCATCCTGTAAAGAATGATCACAGCCATGATCACTCACATGCACAAAGGTTCTTGGTTTTTGCAAATGAAGACTGAGTAACATGGCTGAGAATTTCACTGAAAATTCTGGGCAAAGCCTTTTAGTAACATTTTTCATCAGAATTGCTTGAGCATATCTACAAAGCATTAAATAAATTTTACAAAGGAATGCTATAACTGTGTGGAGCATGTCTGAATTTACAGATTTATTGCTTTTTTCCCTATGGCTTGTGACCTAGAGCTAGTCAAACACCAAGAGAAAACATTGGGCATGACCCTGCTGTTCAGTGAGGCTGCTTTGTCTGGTTTGGGTGAGGCAGAAAAGACTAGTATCTGCCCTAAGGAGAGCCCAAATTGATCCTGTGCAGCAGTCCTGTGGGGCAGACACATGTGCAGCTTTGCTGCTCCAACACTGCGGGCGTCCCACACAAGATCAAGCCCAAATTTTGTCCAGAAGGAAAAGAATGGACAGGTTATGATGCTCTTCAGCCATTTCCCAGAGGATGGCCACAGATACTATCACAGGTAGACTATTAAAAGAAGCACCAAGACTGTATAATGTTGCTGAAGCCATAGAAATGAAGAAGAAAAAAAGAGTTGTTTTAAAGCTCTGTTTGTTTCACTTTCCTTACTGCCACTGTGAAATACCATAACTGTGAAAGTCTTGGTTGCAATATATGGCTGAAGCGATGTAATAGCAAAATTGTTTAGTTGTTAGCTTAGCTCTTAAATAAATGTTTTAAAGTCCATGTAAAACTTATACACATGTTTCAAGATGAAAGGACAATCTGCTGCAGAGTTGGCATTCCTGTTCTGCTGGGGGGTAAAACTTCGAAAAATTTTCATTTAGTAGTGCATTCAGTGGGGTGAGCAAGTATGTGTGTGATCTATTGCTCATATGTGTTTTGATGGCTGGATACCTTGGCAACTTTTGACAGCAATCTATGAACGACTTGTAGCAATGGGCTAGAGGCATTAAGGAGCTACATGGAAGGCTGTGTCCAGATGTTTAAAGATAAATATGAGGAAAATATTCATTGAGATAAAGAAATTAATTCAATAAGCATTAGGAGATGAATCCAATAAAAGGCTTAGGCTTAGATTTAAATGAGGATTAGGATTGAAGTTAAATCAGTGTAAGTCCAAAGTAATGATTGCAGACCTTCCTTTTCCTGGAGACAACAAATGCTGAAAGAACCTATCCTTTTCATGATGCTCATACATACTATTTCAAAAGGCACAATATTGCCTTACTTCTGGTAGTTCACTTCCTGCAGTCTAAGTCCCTGGTCTAGGTGGATCGGATTTTCAGGTTTACTGGGATAGAGACATCAGGTATTGCTTTACTTCCCAGTATGGTGGAAGCTCTGAAATTAGGTCTTATATATTCTGACAGAATCAAGGTCCTTAGATAGAGAGATAAAAAGTAAAGAAAGCATCCTGCATCTGTCCTGCTGAAAGTGTCACAATGCAGTCAGGTACCTGATTCCTCAAGTAAGAGAAGTCAAAGACATGACACATTTCAATCTTACAGTTAAAACAACCATGGCAGAAATTAGAATCTTTAGATTCAGTTAGCTGCTAAAAGCCCCTACAGTCTAATTTACCACATAGGTCTTTAAAGCAAAATTTATAAACTTCAGAGGAAGGACCAAAGTCCAGGTTCCTGGCTAGTTACATAAAAGCTCTACACACTACGTCACAGGATTCAAACTCATGTTTGAATATCTTCAGCTTTACCAAACCTGGGCCTTTCATCCAGCAGAATTTAGTTTAACAATTCGAGGAGTATTATTGTGAGGAGGACTGTGGTCACCAGGGTTTGGCAGTACTGTACATATATGGGTTCTTACTTTCTCAACTGACTTAAACTGAACACAACAATAGATTTTTTTTTTCCATTTGAGGCTAGAGACTCATTTGATACTACCATCACAGAAGAGTTTTCTTTTCCCAGAGTTGTAATGTCCATTTTTTAGAGAGGTCTTAATCTGACACAGTCTAAATCCCTAAGCACTGACATAGCTAAAGAACTTTAAATGTCTTGGACACATACCTTATTTTAAACAGAACTGAACAAGTCAGCCAGCATGGAGGTAGAAAAGCCTGGTTGTGGTTTTTTATTGAATCTTGGGGATTCTAAGCAGTATGCATTTTAAGGATCCTTTTGCTCCTTCACATGGAAGCATAGATATCCTCGAACCATAGTAGAACCATACATTTGTGTGGGAGTTGTCTGTATGTAATCTGCAAGGTGAAAATTTTGTTTCTCATGCATTTCAACCCAAAATATTTGGTTCATTGTTAAAGGCTCAGGTCACCTGATTGAAAAGCAAGCAAAGGGGTTAGGGATGATTGATGGGCCCAGGACCATGGGTGGAGGAAAGTCAATGAATTGAATCAGTCTCTGGACAGTGGCAGAAAAATGTTACAGAGAGCTCAGGAGAGACAATATGACCTAAAAAAATTTGCAAGGGATAAATAGAGAGGATCTAATACTACAGACATTCATTAAAAATTAGTGGGCTTTTAATATGTGTCACAATATATTTTAAACAATTCCTAAATATCAGCTAACATTTGGCTAAATTACTTCAATCTCTACAGAAAGTGTGCTTTAAACAGCTGTATTCCTGTATGCAACAGGTTAAACATTAGGGTTTGCCATTTTAACACGTACAGTTATTCAGAGTTGGAATTTAGGGTAAATATTTGAGTGTTAGAGTAAGCATATTTCATCTACACACAAGTGGAATACTGTTAGCATTTCTCAGATTTGGATTGGGATTTTATGTTCTATATTTAAAATATTTAATCAGCATATCATACTTTATGATTGCAAAACAGGACTCTAGACTGATCTGTGAGCACAGGTGCCCGAACTTTAAAGTATGTATGTGCTTAAAACAACAAAGCAAGTAATTTTATCTTCTTGTATTTATCATTTGATAAGTTATCTTTTAAAAATCCTCTTACTTTTGTTTCTAGTATGGAAGAAACACCTTTATAACATTGGCAAAATATTGGGTTTTACTTATTTCAGGGAATAAGTGGTGTGTTGTGCTCTTGCAATGATTCGCAATTAGCTTGCCTACAAGGTAGCAGCAACATATTTCCAGTTAATACTTTAATTTCTAGTAGATTCTAGTTTTTTCTTCAAGCTATGCAATAGAAAGGTGTGATCTTATATGGTAGGGTAATCCTGTGCTCACAAAGGGTTTGATTCTAGGACAATATAGTGATCAAAAATAATATAATTGCAAAAGACTTCCTTGCATTATTGCAAGGAATATGAGGTGTATCTACATTCCATATCATGGGAGGTATGTCCCATGGCTATTATCCAAACTGCACATCCAACAAATAAATTAATTTCCACATTGGAGCCTGTCTAATCTGTTGAATTGGCTTAAATATAAATTAAGGGCAGAAGAAAGAGGAGGGAGAAGAATTTCTGCATTCAGATATCCTGCTAGAAGGTAGTCAGAACAAGATACATCCTTAATGACCTAAGTACTCATTGTTACTAATTGCTTGCTGGTTCTTATCATCAGTGACTCTTGGCTCAACAGAGGATAGGCTCTGAAACAAGCTACAGCCTTTAAAGGCCTAGCTAATATTGGAAATGAAAAAATAAAGAGGACAGAGTATGAGCTAGATCCATAAAGGAAGGTTAATATGAAAATGTTCTGAGGCACTATACTAACTTTTATATGCCCAGTGGTATCTACATCCCTGAATAAAACACCCAAACTCTCTAGTCATTGAACATATGAATGAGAATTAAAACAGACAATGTGTTAAATACAGAACCACCAGAATTTTCTAATAAAAATGCCTGATGTCAGAGTTGGGTCTTACACTCTTGCTGTGGCAGTGGGATTTAGTTAGCTGGATAGCAGGGACATATTTTTTCAGGTCAGGTTCCATGTTCTGCAGCCCTCTCATGCACTGAGGTACCTAAACAGCTGCCTTCAGAAACAGGGCACTTTGCAGAAAACAAACCCAGAGTTTTGGGACTGGAGAAAATTTAACTCTTTAAGCCATAGATTGGAGGGATATTTGGATATAAACTTTGTTCCAAGAATAACTCATGCATTTTATGTGAAATTCTATTTTGATAAAGTACAAAACAAATACCAAGACCTTTACATATCTTCAGTGAGGTCTACTTCTTCCCTAGACTATAAATTTACTTTTCCCGGCCTACATAAATACCTCATGAACCAGGACTGGAGAATTGTTCTAGCCATGAACTGTGAATTTCTCTCTTATACCTACAAAGGTGCTTAAATCAGTTCCACTTCAGGCAATCATGCCCTTTTGTGACTCCCAGCTGAGCTTTCTAAAACTCACAGCTCTTCTGAGAACACTGTCTGCAAAGGAGACTTTAGAGCTATATGGATAATGACAGGACTCAGGATGTGTATCTGATCTAGGAGGTCTTGATGCTGCTGAGGATTCAGAATTCAGGTAGGTGTCAGGGGATATTTTTTGACCAAATCTACACATGCCTGAGTGAAGACAGTATTTGTCCAAACCATGGCAAGATTGAAAGGAACAGATCATTTCTGCATTCAGAGTAGGCATGAACTAGGTAAGCTGAGATATCCAACAAATATGTTATGTATGATTTGGTGGTACACATGAGACATGTGTGTTCATGTGTGCATGGGTGGCTCTAGGAAAAGGGAATGGAAAGGGGACAACTAGATTCCATAGAAGAATGGAAAAGAAATAGTAAACAGAATGTCTAATTGGAAAGTTTCTGAACTGCTTTCTCTAGAGACGTGAAAGTTTAATAAGTTCTGAGTAGGTTGGACAGACAACACAAATACATGATTAGCTATATAAAGTATAAAAATTGAAATATACACTAACTTCTTTTTGTAACTTATCAACTACCATTTAATGGAATTACAGTGGAGAATATCTTGCCCTTGACCTTAATATTCAATTATTCAAGATTGGAGCATTGCTCTGAGGACTAGAAAGACAGCCTCCTTCTCAGGATGTTATAATCCTCCAGGGGGGGACAGCCTCAGGCTGCAGCCACAAACCTGCCTCATGGCTGTTTATGCAGGTCAGTCCCCAATGACATGAAGCTATGTGTGTCAGGAGAAAACAAGAGTATGTGTCAGCCTGTGCTTATTATATAGAATTACAAAACTGTCAGTAAATAGTTAAGCTTCCACAATCCCTGTGGTGTCTGGTATAGTTCTTTGATTTTCTAGTAGTATACATGGCTGCAGGAGGACTTTTAGATTCCTAAGGACCACAGGGCACGAGCATGTCTTGTGTATATGTGATGATAGGGAGATCATAGAGCATACAGGCTCATTTAAGGCACTATACAAGCTGTATCTATGTGGAAATTTCTGATTCTCTCTACCAGTGATCTTTCTGGGGCTGCCAGCTGCTTGTGCTCTTGGCACTACCTTCTCCAGTGGAGGACAGAAGGCAGCTCCATACTGCAAATTTTCCAGGGTCTCTGAAAGGAAAATGAGAACTGCTGAGGAAAAAACAAAAGCTACCTTATTAAGTAAGTTCCCTTTATTAGGGAGGAATATTTTCTGCTTTTAGGGCAACCATGAAGAATTAGGAGTGGCCTAAACTCTTTAAAGACATAAAACAATGACTGTCTTGGGGGAAAGTCCTGATTAAGCTTCTCAGAAACTCCTTATTTATTCATACAAGCTACGTGCCTGTCTGTCCCTCTGTGCTATGAATGAGCCAAGACTGATAAAGGACAAGAGCCTACTCTTGTGCAGGTTTCATACCTCCTTGAATGGTCTAGGCTGTTGAATGGCTTGGGGCAGTCAGGCACACTTAGCAATGCCTATTGGAAATGTCTCAGCAGCCACAAAAGGTCTTGGCTTGTACCCATTTAATTTCATGTTTTGGGAGACAGAAATCAGGTTTTTATATGAGCTTTGTAAGATTAGGTATGAAAGACAAATACTGCTTGGTTTATCAAGCAGTTTTATTCAATTCTGTGATGTAATTTTAGTGTATAATCCCTCTATATAATGCAGCATTTTTGTAGAATTATGGCAGAATTATTAATAAAACTTATAGAATAGAGGAAAGAATGGAAGATAAAAATAGCTGGAAAAGAAAGGGAGAAAGTAAGCAAGCAAGAAAGCAAGCAGGCATGTGCCTGCACTGCTCCATAGTAGACAAGAGATTTATACATGGGAAAATTATCTAAGTTCAGGGTGAGCTTGTGATCACCACATCACTGTTCTTTAAGCCATGCTGCATTCCAGAAAATGGCACGAACATAGACAAGTCTTTTCACTTTCCTCCTTGTATGTTAGTAACAAAAAAAATCATCAGTATTAGAAAGCCAGTTAATAAAGGTTTTTTTCCTGCAGACAATGCCTCTGTTAACCCTGCAGTTGAGGTGGGCAGGCTGCTGTCAATGCAGTGTTTGGATGGTGTGCCCAGGACGTGCTCACAGCCTGCTTTCCTGGGACTTGGCTCTGTGTGTTTCACACACACCCACTCATGTGGACACAGCTACCTGTGTCCTTGCCTTCAATCTTATGCTGGTGTGCATGGTAAACTGCATGTACAGCAATGCATTGTGTTATCCATTACATGATATATAATTTGGTATAAAGAAATGTTTAAATAAACTGTTATTATCTTGAAATTATCAAACATTGGAAGACATACAGTGTAAGAAACTCAACACTATCAACAGCAGTCATGACCTTTTAGACTAACTAATCTGAACAGACTTACACCTGGAGCTGTACATCATCCTTTAATGTAGACATATCAAGTGAGAAGCAAACATGGTGTTTTTTATAGTGTGTTGTCTGATACTGCATAAGGCAATAGCATGACTTGCCATGTGCTTTCCTTTTAATTCTGCAAAATTCAAGAATTTATATATGCAATAAAAATGGATTATAAATTAGATTTATGACAACTGTAATCTCATTAATTATATTTGTAATAAACCAATGCTAAACTGTGTTCAATTGCATGGATACAAAGCTATATTTTCTACTCTTCACTAGGCATGACAATTTTCACGTTTGTTTGTTCCATGAGATATTTAAACCAAACATATTGTTTGGGCAAGTTTCACAGTCCACAGGGCTTGAAGCAATGGACAGCTCAGGGTGCCCATCAGCTGGAAGTGCAACCCAGAGCCTGAATAATGCTTCTGTGCTCACTAGCTAATGCAATGGAAAATGAGCTGTTTCAGAGTGACATCTCAGAAACCCACTGGATGTGGATTCATCCCACTTTTGAAAAGAAAGGTACTCAGTGAATTTAAATAAATTCCAAATTAGGTAGATGCTTCAATCCAGTGTACACAGTGGGGCTGAAGAGTTAATGCTCTGGAGAGTCTTAGGCCTAGAGAGCTTCCTGCTCCAAACTCCAGGCTGGGGATGACTGGGCTGCCCTATCACTTCTCTGCACATCTGCATTTCCTTCTCTGGGGTTATTAAGAGAAAATTACATCAGTATATGCCAGGTCTCCTAATTAGGGTGACCAGAAGACGATAACCTGGGGCACTCTATGGACCCTGCCTTACATGATTCACTGGATTATGACCTCGGCTTTACATTACTCAGATCCACTTGGTTCTTGTTTTAAGCATTTGAGATTTAATTATATTTAAATAAACATTATTTGACCTCAGTGCATGAGAAGAGACAGTATTTTAGAAGAAAATTTAACAATAATCTAAATTAAATTAGTAACAAAAACTTTCATCTACTTTCAATACCTATCTTGTCTCTTTCTTGACCTTATTTGCCTTGTCTGGCATTAGAGTGATAATTAAAACAACTCCTTTTCAGATGCCCTGTTGGTAAAAGATGAGAGGAAACCAATAAGTTTTATTCACACCATAATGTAAATTATAATGGTATAGAAATTATAAAATACAGTCCCTGGATAGAATGAAGTTTGCACACTCAAAACCTATCCCATGATGATTCCCCACACCACAATCTGCAACCATAGCACCTGATAAGGGGGATGAAATAGAGGATGGAACAGAATGGAGAGACTGTGGCCAGGCTCTGTTGGAATCCTTGCGGGGAGGTGCTTTGCAGCTGAGAAGCTGCATAACACTTGTCAACCAGGGAAGATAGGAGATGTCTTGCTGTCGAGCCAACAACTGTGGCAAAATCCCTCTCCTCAGATTATAACCTAATTTTTATCTTAACACACACCTGCATCCCAATGTTACCCATCTCCAAAGTATGACTACCCCTCACTGGGCATGCACTCTATATTAGTTTTGACTATATCTTTAAAAGTGAAGTAAGAGAATTTTACATCCATCAGTAGACAAAAATTTTATTAATAAGTCACTGAAGCTCCACATGAACACAAAGAAATAGTAGAAAGTTAAGAATAGGGGGAAAATTAGGGAAGACTCCATTGCAACTGCTGACATCAGTTAATGGTCCTGTCTTCTTCCTTATAGGGATGCCTATTGGCATCACTGTCTGTGCTAAATAATTTTATTGGAGCTTGTCTGTGTATTGCTTTGAATGCATTTTTGCAGTCAGCAACTATCACTGGCAATCCCCGAACCTTAACCTGTCACAATTTTATATTAATAAAGAGTGTTACTCTGGTAGTGTGAGTCCTTCACGAGCACTGACAGCTGCTGGCAGTGGGTTATGCTCAAATAAAGAGGAAGATCCACTGAGGGGTCAAAAAGTGGAAGGACCTGCTGCAGGGTCTCCCTTATGCTGTTGGTGTGTTTCCCTGACTAAGTCAAACCACCTTCTGATCCTGCAGGACTGCTCAGTCAGAAGGCTGACAATCTTGTTGGGTACAAGGGTCTGGCCCTTCATGATAGCTAAATTGAATACTGGGGTTCAATTAAGCCCCCCCAAACAAAGGGTCCAGGAAATCTCCCCTTTTTGCATGTTACCCATTCTTTAATACCTATGTGCATATGTTCATATTCCACAAGCACTCCCATTCAATTTGACATTATGAAGACTGCATTCGGGTTTTTTTACTTCAACTTAATACAAAGGCATATTTATGCAAATATATGGCAGATAATTTACTTATGTACAAATAAAACTGTACGATAGTACTAATTAGCATTACATTAGTGGTAAGTAAATCATGGTTGAAAGTGGACAACTGCAAAATAAACTGGTGCTGGCAGTCAGGCATGTAGAGCTCTGCTATGGTGAGTCTAGATAGAAGTGAATACAAAAGCAGAGAATTCAAACTCCTGACCCTGGAACACCTACAGAATAGTTTGTCTTCTAAAGATACAGTCCTACAGTTGCTGAAGTTTTCAGGGAAAGCCTCTCTAACTACAACATTTAAAATTACAACTCCCCTTCAAAAACCCACCTTACTGTTGTTCACTTTCTGTGAGGCACCTTACTTGTTCAGGTACTTTTCCTCATGTCCAGCATCACAGACAAAGCTGTTTATTAATCACTCTGTAATTGACCCTCCTGACATAAAGTCTCATATAGCTGTGCAGAGATGCAGGTGTGTCTAATCAGTTCATTGCAGGCAAGTGGAGGCTTGGTCTGCTCATAATCTGGGTCTGCAGCAGGCTGTTCTCCTGATGGGCAGAGGTGGCTGAGCACACTGCCAAGTTTGATCACTAGAACAGAGTAGTTCATCCCTCCCTGGGATGAACTACTCCCCGTACTACTGAGATGGGAAAGCAGTCTTTGGTTTGCAAAAAGGATGGCACAATGAGCCCACATCTGCTTGGAGGAAACAAAGGCATAAATACATATATAAACTGGGTACCAGTGAAGGTGCTGAAGAGCTGAAGGTGGATGGACAAAGTCAAGCCAGCCAAATTATTCCACAAATTCTGAGTCTGAAATACATAAACTTTGGACAAATTCTTCACATAGATTTGTTCATAAAACCTTAATGGTTTCATATAAATTTAAAAAAGGTGCATAATTTAAATTTCATTGTGTCATTTTACAATGTCAAAAACGCAGTTTCAAGAAATTGATGAAAATTTCATAGTGATGCTTACAATTTGGGGATTGGACAGAAGTGATAAAAAAATAAATCTTACTTAAAAACCACATGCTTAGGACACAACCTGTGGAGCAGGTTTATGTTACCTGAGAGTGAATGGAAGGTCTAACAAATTGCACTGTAGGAGCCTTTTGGTACATTTGGCTACAGTTTTTGTTATACGCTACAGGGATAAACCATTTTGTTATACCTTACTAACAGCCTCTCCTTGCTATTATTTCTTATGCTCTGTATTATGAAGACTGTATGTTCTGGGCTGAATATTTTCCCATATCAAAAATCTTATGGCTGCAGCTACGTAATCATCTCTTGTAAATGAGTGAAAATTAAAAACACTGAATAAAATGACAGATATGACAAGGATATTTTCTGAGGTGCCTGCCTGCTGCCTAGGTGCAGCAGAAACCTCCACTGAGCTATGATTTCACAGAATCACAGAATAAGCTAAGTTTGGAGGGACCCATGAGGATCATTGAGTCCAACTCTCTGCTCTGCCTGAGTCACACCACATGCCTGAGAGTGCTGTACAAATGTATCTAGAACTATGACAGACTTGGTGCTGTGACCACTTCCCTGGGGAATCTGTTGCTCAAACACCCTTTTCTAATATACAACCTAAACCTCCCTGACAGAACTTCAGGCCATTCCCTCGGGTCCTGTCACTGGTCACCACAGGGAAGAGATCAGTGCCTGCCCTGGCTCTTCCCCTCATGAGGAAGTTGTAACTGCAGTGAGGTCTCCCCTCAGTCTCCTCTTCTCCAGGCTGAACAGACCAAGTGACCTCATCCCCTTCTCACACAGCTTCCCCTCAAGGCCCTTCACCATCTTCATTGCCCTCCTTTGGACACTCTCATAGCTTTATATCTTTCTTACATTGTGGCACCCAATGCTGCTCCCAGCACTCGAGGCGAGGCTGCCCAGTGCAGAGCAGAGCAGGACAATCCCCTCCTTTGCCTGACTGGAGATGCTGTGCCTGATGCATCCCAGGACAGGGTTGGCTCTCCTGGCTGCCAGGGCACTGCTGAATTATGTTCAACTGGCCATTGACCAGGACCCCCAGGTCTCTTTCTGTGGCTCTGCTTTCCAGTATCCCATTACCCAGTCTGTTCATACATCCAGGGTTGCCCCATCCCAGGAGCAGAATTTGGCACTTTGCAATGTTGAACTTCATACAGTTGGTGATTGCCTCGTTCTCTGTTTTGTCAGGGTCTCTCTGCAGGGCCTTACTGTCCCTGAAAGAGTCAACAGCTCCTCCCAGTTTTACACTGCCTGTGAACTTGCTCAGTATCCCTTCCAGTACAATGTCCAAGTCATTCATGAGGATATTGAAGGACTAAGGATGGAGCTCTGTTGAACCCCTCTAGTGACAGGTCACCATTCTGGTGCCACCGCATTCACTGTAACCCTTTGTGCCTGACTCATGAGCCAGTTCTCAGCCACCACATAAAGTGTTTATCCAGCTGAGTGCTGGACATTTTTTCCAGAAGGATCCTGTGACAGACAGTATCAAAAGCTGTGCTGAAACCCAAAGGGATTACATCAACTGGCTTCCTTTGGTCAGATGGGTGGGTTACCTTGTCAGAAAAGGAAATCAGGTTTGACTTCCTTGAAAGCAGGACTTTCCTCTTGCTGGCTGTAACCAGTGACTGTCTTGTCTTTCATGTGTTTTTCAGTATCTCCCAAAGTAACCTTCTCCATAACTTTCCCAAGCACCAAAATGAGACTGACAGCCAACAGAATACCCCTGTAGTTGGGGTTCTCCTTCTTGTCCTTGAAAATTGGGACAATGTTTGCAGGGTTCCAGTCAGCTGGGACCTCTCTGGATTCCCTAGACTGCCAAAAATTGTCAAGATAGATTTTACAATTACATCAACAGCTTTTTGAGGATTCTTGCATGAATTCCATCTTGCTCC